AGAGATATTATACATTGACCTTCCAAAAGTGCAGCACACTCTGAAATCAGGCCAAAAATTATCTATAACCCCACTCTGAATGACATTATTGATGGGTCAGGTTCCCCAGGAAACAAATTCTGAGGTTTGCCTGCCTGCCTTTCAGTGGGAAGTGCTTTGAGGAGAAAAAGCGTGATGTAAAACAGAGGCAGATGTGGGCAAAAGGGAAAGCTGGGGTTGATGTAGTTGCCAGCTCCATGGGAGGAGCTGTGATCGCTGTCAGAGCTGCTCTCAATGGAGGCAGGGGTCTGCTGAAGTTTGTGCCCTCACGCAAACCAGATACGGGACCACGGAATGGGCTGCCCCAGAATGGGAGTGTAAGCTTGGAGGAGGAGAGATCCAAATGCCATCTATCTGCAGGCAGCACTCCAGGCGGCTGGGAAAGTGAGTATCTCAGTTCTCAAGAGGAAGAAATCAGTGACACACCATCGCATCTATACTACGTGTACACACAGCATCTGTAACGGGTCCACTGAGATCATCCAAGTGGGTAACCATGATATTATCCAAGTGACGAGCTATGATCTAAAAATACTGTATTATTCTGAACATTAACAGAATAATGATAGTGTGAGCCTAAGAGCTGATATTAGTCATTGTCAACTAAAAGAAAAAGACTACCATAAAGTCAGTAAGCATAAGTAGTAATCTGAAGATGTTCCCATAAGTATTTTCAAGCAAACATGTATCCCCATTTATATCTATATAGGCATATCTTTCTTTGGAGATTTGAAAACAAGTAAAGAGGCTATGTATAAAGGCTTTATACCAGAAAACATGGAAAATTCTACCTCAGTTATCGCTTCTCTCTTAATGAGAACACCCCCTTTCCCAAGGTCTCTCCTTTATGGTTACAAAAAATCTCCATTTCAATTGAGAAAATATACATACCAGAATCTATTCATGATTTACCTAATCCAATCTCCCTTTGCGCATGTCATATTTCATAACGGAATATGTTTTGTTTGCCTTCTCCCCCATCTTCTATTATCTCTGATTAACCTTGTCTCTTCAGTTTGATTGTTGTTAAAAGGAAACAGAAATGCCTGATAGATTAAGACCTTATTTTTCATCAATGTGAGGCTTACTCACTGAAAAACACTATTGTTTCAACCCTTAAAGTGTTACAAATCATTCTAAATATAGAAATAGGAGATTCATCCTAGTAATTCCTCTCCTGCATTTACACTTTATTTTGTAGATAATTAACTATGTAACAGAGATTGGAGAGGTAAAAAAAAAAAAAAAAAAAAAAAAAAAAAAAAAGCAAAAACAAACAAAAAAACTTGTGTTGGAATCACTGCCAAGTATAAATCAATCATAAATCAAAAGATAAGCCCTTTGAAATTATAATGTCAGTCAACATGGAAATGGTAATAGTTTGCCTTTAATTGTTTTCAAGGATTTACCTCTTAAGTAAAAGAAGGCATGCAGTACAAAATGGTCTCTGTTGACCGTGAACTTCGTAAAGATTCACTGGGCTGTAGGATGGTGGCTGAAACAGTTCATAGCAATCAAATTTGGCTATGCTTTAAAATATCCAGAAATGTCAGCATAAAGAATATAAAGTAGAACGGCCATTAGCCAAGAATGCTTGCTTTTTATTTTTTTTAATATGTATTTATTTTGAGAGAGAGAGAGAGAGAGAGAATAGGGGATGGGGAGAGATAGAGGGAGAGAGAAATCCCAAGCAAGCTCCACGATGTCAGAACAGAGCCCGGTGAAGGGCTCCAACTCACGAACCATGAGATCATGACCTGAGTTGAAATCAAGAGTCAGATACCAACCGACTGAGCCACCCAGGCGCCCCAGAATGCTTGCTTTTGATATAGCAATGCTTAATAGTCAGATATCAAACACCTGCTCTAACTTCTCAACTTTGGTATGAATTCAGCAGTCAACAACAAAATAATCTCATGACTTTGACAGTTGCCAAAACAGTGGGAAGCTAAAAATACCGTATGACTTACTATTGAGGGCTGAACAAGAGAGAGACACCATTCACTGCTGACCAATGGTCATCAGGACAGGGCAGAAAGCAGCATCAAGAGTCTTAACTCCTAGACAAAGACCAGAGAGAATGATAGAAACAAGGAGAAAAAGAAACAAGATGACTGCAAAAAATTAAAGGCCAAACAGAGAAGGGAAATAAGAAGAAAATGGCAGACAGCTAATGGGACAGTTGTTTAAAGTCAAGGAGTGACGGCAGAGAATAGGTAAGACATGTTAAAGAAGAAAAGTGAAGTACTAACCAGAGGAGCAAATCTCTTAGAGGAAGGTGTAGCTACCCATACTGCATCAGCTAGTTGAGGCCTCTTACTGTCGTAACAGCCGGTGGTCAAAATAACCAGAAGGTGTCACCGAAATATAGTGAGGATGTGTTCACTGTACTCTTTACTAAGAAGGGAGGGATTATGTTTTACTTTTTGTTAAAGCTTCCTTTCAAAAAAAAAACACCTTTTTTAATTTAAGTTCTCCTGAATAAATAAATGGTCAAATTTACATGATTACCTGGAGAAAATCTCCTGCAAAGTATTTCATTAATTAGCAATCTGGGTAAGTGAAATCATGTTATATAAAAAGAGTAACAATATACGTTTAGCTCCCAACATGCGGAGTTTCTCTAGACTTTTTTTCTAAGTTTAGCCTCCTAATTTGATTTCCTCAGTAGGCAGTGAACTTCCCAGGACTATCCTCGAAATAGCATCAAGTTGCAATTTTGGCCTTCACAGAATGGAGAGCAACACAGAGAAGTAATATGAATGTGGAAAATATTCTCTATCGGTGTTTAACTTTAAAACATATGCATAAAGGAACCCCTGTATTTGAAACCTCTCAAGAATTCATTGTCACCTGCTATGCTGTTTGATTCGTATACATATTATAAAATTCACTATGTTAACTTTCAGAGATGAACGTGTCTTCCACAACTTGAGATTCACTAGGAACTTAAATAACATTTTTACTATTTCTGACTTACCAATCTTTCCTCCCCTGCAATCGAAATTTGTAAATCTGATGCTGGTAGTATCTAACAGTATAGGATACAAAGTATTTAGTCAGGAAATATTAATTTTCTCTTCCTTATCCATTCTGTATTTGGAATTATATAAGAATCTCATCTACAAAGATGATGTTCTCCTTTTTAAGATATAGAAGACATCCATTTTAATGACATTAATATGGAATAGAAAAATGCTAAATGTTTAGAAAACATACACTATGTTGTGTTAGTAAGCATGACTTGACACTTATCATCCCATTTGTCTCTGGATAACAATAAGGTATATCACAGCGAAATTTCACTGCCTTTTTTTTTTTTTTTTTTTTATCTCACCTATTTTGAATGACAGTCCTGCTGGATAAAGAAAAATCATAAGCAGTTAAAAGAAAAAAGTTTTTTTTTTTTATTTATATATGAAATTTATTGTCAAATTGGTTTCCATACAACACCCAGTGCCTTTTGAAATTGATTTTGAGTATGTGTGTGTCTGTGTGATGTACATGCGACAGAGAGAGAGGGAGAGGGAGGAAAAGAGAAGGGGAAGAGGGAGGGAGGGAGAGAAGAGAATCAGACACAGATAAATCTTGAAGGTCAAATACTGAAGTTGAGAGAAGGAGCCGTTTCTCTTTTTTGTTTTGTTTTGCTTTGTTTTGTTTCTTCCATACAAGCTGGCACGGTACCTAATCCACTGAGTGACAACTCAGAAAACATGCTGAAAAAAATCACTGAATGGACAATTCCTAATATGAGCTCACAAGGGGTATACTCTTCACCTTTAAAGTGGCGTGCCTTTAAAATCTATATCATTTGTATGTTAATAATCACATTCACATTTATAGACATTAATTTTCATTTCTTTAACTGTCCAGTTGTACAAAACTTCCTGAGGCAGGAAGCAGTAGACGTTTTTTAGTTTTGTTTTCCTTCATCATTCTACCAGGAGGCTACCAATGAGTAGCCAGCCATTCAAAAGTAACTGACTTTGGTAAATACTGATATGAGTAAGGTCTAGTTTATGTTTTGTGGTTATTACGACTTGGGTCATCAGTATCCTTGAGAGTTACCAATACAGTTTTTATACTGAAGTCACATGTAAAACTTGAAATCTACCAGTGATCTTTCTAAATACAGATCTGATCATCTCCTTCCTTTTGCCTACAAGGTATTAAAATCTGTAACCCATTACACTAGGTCCTGGTTTACCACTTTTATCCTCGGGTCCTTAAGAGTAGGATCCTAGCGTTATTCTTCTGTTTAAGGTACTGCCTAGCACATCCCCTGCTTTCTAAAAGGCATTCAATAAATATTTGTTGAGTAAATTACTGTGCAATGAATGAAATCTATGACATAACAGTCCATTGTTAAATGTAACTGGCATAATATGTCATATATATATTTAGCCATGTTTATCACTTAAATCTTAGAATTTTTAAACCATCTGACAGAGTTTGAGTTTAAAAACAATGATTATACAAGGAAAAATAAAAGCTTCTACTATGTAGAAAGAAAAGTAGAAACCTGAGAGATAAGCTTATTTAAATGATAATGGATGAGGACAAATGAAAGACTAAATTAAAAAAAAACATGAAAAGAAAATATTAGAGATTTCTTTTTATAAACTATATAGAAATAATACTGAAACCATATGTTCTTTTGAAACCACAATAGATACAAAATGCTGTCTAATTTTTAAATGTCAAGTTCATAGATAAAATGCATGATCTAAAAACTCTAATCAAGCTAATGTTTCAAGAACTATATTAAAACACAGTTTAAATAGCAAAATAGAACCCAGATTAGCATTCAGTAAAATAATTTTAAGATATATGTAAAGACTGTACATAATAGAATTTTAGAAATATAAATCATCCTAAATTCTAGATAACTAAACATGTTTTAAATGTCTTCGTGCTGAAACATTTTATAAATACAAGTAAAGCATTTTAAAAAGCGATACCTGCAAAAGAGTTGTTCTATGGAGCTTCAGTGCCCCCTTCTGGTGAATTTTAGCAAAGCAACCTGAGCAATAATCTTCGCCACACTCAAGGCATACCTTAAAAGACAGTAGAAAATCATGCAATATTATAAAAATGTGAGTTTGAGAAAACGTTTGCATAAAGAAGTCATCGTTCTCATCTTTATTTCTCCAATGACATATCTAGATGTCATAAGAACTGAGAAGCTCATGGAAACTGGAACAACCACTTGACCCCATTAAGATGTAATTGAGGGGCACCTGGGTGGCTCAGTCGGTTAAACGTCCGACTTCACCTCAGGTGATGATCTCATGGTTTGTGAGTTTGAGCCCCGCATCGGGCTCAGTGCTGACAGCTCAGAGCCTGGAGCCTGCTTCTGATTCTGTGTCTCCCTCTCTCTCTGCCCCTCCCCCACTCATGCTCTCTGTCTCAGAAATAAACATTTTAAAAAAAATTTTTTAAACGATGTAATTGAGAAAAACTAACTTGTTAACTCTAATTACTCTCATATCAAAATAAATATAATAGCTGCAAGTAGGTTTTAGATATGTATTAGATGCATATATGTATCTACAATTTCTGGACAAATCATAAAAAACCAGCAACCTCAGGCCAAACTTCTTGACCTGGCAAAGGCTAAACAGCGTTATCTCTGAGGCAAAACTACTTCATTTTTGTAAGCTTTTAATCTCACAGTCCATATAGTATTTTTCCCCCAAAATCTCCACATACTTTTTTGAATGGCATTACGTCACTGGTGATTCTCAAAATACAGTTTAAAAAATATTCTTAGGGGGCGCCTGGGTGGCTCAGTCAGTTAAGCGTCCGACTTCACCTCGGGTCATGGTCTCACTCTTCGTGGGTTCAAGCCCCGTGTCAGGCTCTGTGCTGACAGCTCGGAGCCTGGAGCCTGCCTCAGATTCTGTGTCTCCCTCTCTCCCTGCCCCTCCCCTGCTTGCACTTTGTCTCTCTCTCTCTCTCAAAAATAAATAAACATTAAAAAAATTTTTAAATTATTCTTAGAAGATTCCTCAAAGGAAAGAAAGTATAAGAAAAAGACCTCAATGCAACTACATCAACACATCAGCAATTTTTATGACTAGTGAAATGATTATGGACAAGTTTGTATTTATCTTTAAAAATCTGTACACTGTTAAACTGTATTTTTTTAAGTTTACAGATAAATTGATGTGATGTCCCTATACCTACGAAGGCATCGAGTAAGACTTAAAGAGGAAAGAAAATGGAATTTTTGCTGCAAGTGCACTTACTGCTGTGCAGTTGTATGGCCACATCAACACCCTTTGTGACCTGAGAAAAAGCAGTCCAAATGTCTAAGACCCCTCATTTTCTTGAGTTTGGCCTAGGTTAAGAATGCTAGCAGCACAAATAAGAAAGTGTGAGGGTTTGGAGGGATGATGTCAGAAAGTCTGTGTCACAGAGCCCACATGCCCTTCGATCCTTTCTCATTTCCCCTCTCCTCACTTAGCGTGCCCACTACCATTCTTCCCTTCCTTCCTCTCTCCACCTATCAAGGAATCCTAAGCAGAAAGCAGCTAGGGAAGAGTGGCGAGAGGTTGACCAACCTCTTCTACCTTGCACTGGTGAGTGACTGACTGAAATGTGCAATACAGTGATGCCTCCCGAACTGTACTGTGCATATGAATCACCTGGGATTTTGTTACTGTGAAGACGGGTTCAGGAAGTCTAGAATGGGACCTGAGATCCTGCATTCTAACAAGCTCTCAGGTAACGTCCACGCAGCTGCTGGTGTGCAGACCACACGTCAAGTAACAGGCACTAGAATGTATAGGACGTGGAAAAGTAGACTAAACTCTTATTAAAAACCCAACAGGAGGATGTCTAGATGGCTCAGTCAGTTGAGCATCTAACTTGATTTCGGCTCAGGTCACGATCTCACGGTTCGTGGGTTCGAGCCCCACATCAGGCTCTGCGTTGACAGCACGGAGCCTGCTTTGGAATCTCCCTCTCTCTCTGCCCATCCCCCGCTCGCTCACACTCTCTCTCTCTCTCTCTGTCTCAAATATAAACGTTAAAAAAAAAAACAACAGGAGTCCATTAATGTTTTAAAAGTGTATTACAAGTCACCATTTGATGACTCTGTTACCTACAATAACGTGGCCAGATTTATTAAACATAAGATTATTAACACAACATTAACAATAACAACCAAAGGTTAAAAGAGCAAGAAATTATGTACAGGTAAATAAAACTTAAAAGGAAGGTTAGAACCACATAACAACATCCACACTGAGCACTTATGCACTGTTCTAAGAGCTTTGTATGTTTCATCTCATTGAATTCTCACAACAACCCTATAATAAGGTTAACGCGACCATTGTGTCTCCATTGTGAAGATGAAGTAACCAAGGAACATAATGATTGAGAATTTGCCCAGTCACACAGCTAATGAAGCCAGGATTTTAATCCCACAGTCTGGCTCAGAGCTCAAGCTCTCACCCATGAACCAAATTACTAAAAATCACATTTACCATTAACTGCAGCACTGATCATTTATTGAAAAACCTTGATAATATCTGCAATTAAATAAAATCCAGTATGTCAAATGATTATCAAAATCAAATGCATTTTTTTTCAAATGTGATTAGCTATACAGAACTGGATTTTTCATTCAAGTGAAAAAAAAAAAAACACTATCCCTAATATCAGAATTAGTCCTACACTTTCAACTCACGTTTTAAGAACTAGTTTCTTACAGAAATGATGATTAAAACATTACCTAGATCCATAATATTTAAGTGTAAAATCAAATAAAAAGCTATAATTTCACATACATACATGGCATACTATCATATTAATGTAGATTTCAAAATGTATTCTGCATAATTTTCATTTATTTGCTAATACCTTAATAAATTTCTTAGAAATACTTGGCACTGTTTTCACAAGGTAATAGAGAAGACTGGAAATCAGCTTCAACATAGAATTCTAAGCCAAGTATTTGTTAACAACAGATTTTTAATGAAAGTAGCCAAACGGATGTTGTAGACTAGAAGATCAAAGCTGGAATTGCAGAGTAAGCTTATATATTTTGTTATACAAGCATATTTGGATTTAAATTGGGTTAAAATGACCGCCAACTGGAAAATCTTTTTAGGCAGTGTGTATAACTGGCAGAAATGTACTAAAAATGTAGATAAGGACTCCATTCCACCACAGATGCTTCTTCAATGATGGAATACCCAAGTGCAGTTTTAGCAAATATCTTTTTAATTTGATCAAGCCTAGATCAGTTGTGCTAAGCCTTCAGAATCCCTTTGAGTTTAATTAAATTATCTACATTTGCCAAATTAATGTGTAATTTTTAACTATCCATTTCGCTTTTACCATGTACAAACAGCCTAAAGCTACTGGAATTTCTTTTAAAAATACAAAATTTGAAGGTTGGAGTTTTATTTTTACCATCAATGTATGTGAATGCGTTAAGAGATATGAAAATGTGCCAACAACGAAACACACACAATTTCCTGTCTCTTCTCAATGTGCCAGGCACAACGCTAACTACTCTTGATACTTGCATGCATTCACCGTTATCTTCAATAATTCCGAGGTATAGACTACTGTTATCTATATTGTTCCACTCTCACAAATGAGAAAACAAAAAATACAGTGGAATTAAGCCATTTCCAAAGGTCACATAGCTAATCACAGGTAAAGTTGAGATTCAAACCTCCAAAATGCCAGCTCTTAACCCTTACCTCCCATAAACAGTTTTCCCTGACGAAGACCCTATCGTCAGATACAAGAAGGTTTACTCCACACAACCAGCATTACCATCCAGAATGATGGAAGCTAAGAACACAAGGTAACTTCAGGGTTTACCACCACCATGTTTCACTTCACTAGATGTGTCTAACTTGAATTTTTAAATAATTTATTTCATTTACTGTTGTGGGACACCTCGGTGGTTCAGTCAGTTAAGCATCTGACTCTTGATTTGAGCTCAGGTCATGATCTCGTGATTTGTGAGATCAAGCCCCACTTTGGGCTCTGCACTGACAGCGTGGAGTCTCCTTGGGATTCTCACTCTCCCTCTCTCTCTCTCTCTCTCTGCCCTTCCTCCTTCCTTAAAATCATAGCGAAATTCTTTAAGAATATATAGGGTCTAAATCCTTGCTTCTATTTATAACAGTTTTCAGGCAAATCGGCCTTTTAATCACTACACACATTGTCACTCTCATCTGCTTTCCAGCCAAGGCATGTGCCATTTATCTTATCTGGAATGTCCTCTTCTTGATTTTCCTTCTCTTTGGAAAAACAGATCCTTTGTTTCCAGCTCAAGTTTGACCTATGGATGTCATGTTGTTCAAATTCCAGAGCCTTTAAACAGTACTCAACATAGAACAGGATTCACAAGAAGTACTGATAGCTTCTACATAAATGCTTTGTTCTCATCATGAACAGTGGACCCCAACAATTCAATTCAGCCAGTAAGTCCCTTTTAGCTTTCATATTTCCAACTTCAGGAATATTAACATTGTTTATATTTTTTAAACATTTATAAATAGGTATAATTTGTGAAGATTTCTTAAATTAGTGCCCATCAGGGGCGCCTGGGTGGCGCAGTCGGTTAAGCGTCCGACTTCAGCCAGGTCACGATCTCGCGGTCCGTGAGTTCGAGCCCCGCGTCGGGCTCTGGGCTGATGGCTCAGAGCCTGGAGCCTGTTTCCGATTCTGTGTCTCCCTCTCTCTCTGCCCCTCCCCCGTTCATGCTCTGTCTCTCTCTGTCCCAAAAATAAATAAACGTTGAAAAAAAAAAATTAAAAAAAAAAAAAAAATTAGTGCCCATCATTAGAGATCAAATAAGATAAGAAAACAGCATGTTGTAATATAAGAGCCCTGTACCAAGAGACAGGGTTTTACATTTAATATTGCAATTAGCTCTTTATTCGACTTATGGTATTCTAACTCTCCCAGACCAGCTAAAACTGCCATGAAATAAGGATAGCAATATAGTCTCAAATCAGAAATGATCACGGCCAAATTCTCTGAAACTATAACAAATATCAGTTATAGGAATCTACAAATATCAGTTATAATCATTAAATTCTTTGGGGGGAAAACTGCTTCTTAAGTGTAATATTTTAAATTGCAAAAGATACTGGAGTACTTTAATACTAACTAAAAGGAAGATATATCTGAAGGTTTTATTACAGAAAAAAAAATTTCTTCCTTTAACAAATGTTTGTTGAGTGCCTACTAAATTGCAGCATAATTCTAGGTGGTGGGCACACAGCATTGAACAAAAGTAAATCCCTACTCTCATGAACTTTACACAGGTGGGTGGAAAATAAACGTGTGTATACACACACACACACACACACACACACACACACACACACACACATATATATGTTACGGAGTAATAAACATGTGGATGCATGGAGAAGCTCCAAAAAACTGGAGAGGCCAACTCAGCTGCTGGTCCTTTACAAAGGGCTGCCAGGGCAGGGGACATCTGAATCGACCCTCATTATGAGACTGTTGGGGGTGGGGAGGAGAGATATTAAAGGTGCAATTTTGAACATGGTAAGTTAGTGATTACTGTTAGACATCCAAGTAGAGGTGCTAAATAGGCAGTCTGAGTTGAAAGTTCAGGGGAGAGGGATGAGTTAGAGATGTAAATTTGGGAACCATCCATGTAGAGATGGTCTTTAAAGCCAAGAGAGTAGATGAAATTACCTATAAAGAGTTAGTAGATGGACTAGGGAAGAAGGCTAAGGACTAAGCCCTGTGGCACTCAACATTCAGGGGTCAAGCATACAGAAAGCCAAAAAAGACTGAGAAAGGGCACCTAGCAAAGTAAAATGATACCAAGACAGAATTGTGTCCTAGAGGAAGCTAAGTGAAAAGTCACAGAAGAGGAAGAGTGCATCGAATATTACTGATAGATTAATATAAGAACTGAGAACTGGTCACTGTATTTAAGAATATGGAAGTCACGGGGCGCCTGGGTGGCGCAGTCGGTTAAGCGTCCGACTTCAGCCAGGTCACGATCTCGCGGTCCGTGAGTTCGAGCCCCGCGTCAGGCTCTGGGCTGATGGCTCGGAGCCTGGAGCCTGTTTCCGATTCTGTGTCTCCCTCTCTCTCTGCCCCTCCCCCGTTCATGCTCTGTCTCTCTCTGTCCCAAAAATAAATAAAAACGTTGAAAAAAAAAAAAAAAAAAAAAAAAAAAAAAAAGAATATGGAAGTCACTAGTGACCTTGATAGGAGCACTTGCTGGCATAGTGGAGACCCAGTCCTGAGTGGAGAGGAATCAAGAGAGAATGAGAATTTGGCAATTCCACTTCTGGGCATATACTCAAAAGAAGTGAAAGTAGAAACCAGGCAGATATTTAAACTCTTGTCCATTGCAGCATTATTCACAAAAACCAGAAGGTGGAAACAACCCAAGCGTCTACCGATGGATGAACGGATAAACAAAACGTACCATTTACATACAATGGAGTATTATTCGGCTTAAAAAAGGAAGGAAATTCTGACACACGCTACCATGTGGAGGAACCTGAAAACCTTAGAGCAAGTGAAATAAGCCAGGTACAAAAGGCCAAATACTGAATGACTCCACCTCCATGAGGCAGGCACCTAGAATAGTCAAATTCATAGAGACAGAAAGTAGAAGGTTGGTTGCCAGGGGCCGACAGGAGGGGCGAATGGGAGTCATGGTGCAAGCAGCCCAGTTTCAGTTCTGTGAGATGAAAAGAGTTTTGTGGATGGATGGTGCTGATGGCATCCCAACCATGTGAATGTGCTTAACGCCACTGAACTGTGCTCTTACAATGGCTAAAATGGTAACTTTTAAATTACGGTGTATTTTACCATCTTTTTTTAAAATTTTTTTGAACATTTATTTATTTTTGAGACAGAGAGAGACAGAGCATGAACGGGGGAGGGTCAGAGAGAGAGGGAGACACAGAATCTGAAACAGGCTCCAGGCTCTGAGCGGTCAGCACAGAGCCTGACGCGGGGCTCGAACTCACGGACCGTGAAATCATGACCTGAGCCGAAGTCAGACGCTTAACTGACTGAGCCACCCAGGCGCCCCAACCATCATTTTTTTTTTAAAGTTCACGAAATCAGCAAGGAGAAGTTAGAGAACTGTCAGAACCCATCTTGTGGGGTCTTCAATTTCCCTTTACAACTTTTTTGCCTTAAAAACAAACAAACAAACAAACAAAAAGACTTGCACACAAATGTCCCAGCAGCCTTAAGTACAGTAGTAAAAAACTGGGAACAACCCAATGTCATTCAATATGTCAATAAATAAACAAATTTTGGTATACTAATACAATGGTGTACTACTCAGTAATTTGAATGAACAAACTACTAATAAATGTAATAGTATGGGTGAATCTCCATGTGGAGCAAAAGAAGCCTTAGGCAGAAAAATATATACCCTATTGTTCTATTTATATAAATAGAACCCTAAGTGTATGGTGCTAAAAATCAGAACAGTAGTTGGCTTTGTAGTGGGAATTAATTGGAAAAGGCGCAAGGGAACTTTCAGGGGTATTCTATTATCTTGATGCAAGTGTATCAATTTGTCAAAAGGCATCTCACTATACATTTAAGATCTATTTCATAGAAAGTACATTATGCCTCAGCAAAAAAAAAAAAAAAAAAAAAAAAAAAAAAAAAAGGTGAGAGAACATGTTGAGAGCAAGTGTAGACAACGCTTCAGAAGTTTTGCTAATAAGGGTGCAGAGGGCGAATGTAGGGGTCAAAGAAGAATTTTTGTTGTATTTTTGGTTTGGAAAGTACTGCAGCATATTTGTGTGCTGCTGGGCGTGATCTTAGAGAGAGGGGACAAGAATTAGGAGTTATCCTTAAACGGGAATGAGAAGGTGAGATACAGCTCTCTGGACAGGTGCTGACCGGATGGGGCAGCATGCACACTTCCCCCTTAGCAACGGTAGCCAAGGAAAAGCATCTGGCTTACAGAAGCAGGCTGGCTTGGGAGAGGCGAATGAGGCCATGTGAACATTATGCGCCCCTACGTTATTGCAGTGCACATACCAGCACAGCAGCTTTGTTCTCACACTGTCCACAAACCTTCCCTTTTATCTTGGATTTTTCACTTTCAGAAGAACTGGCCATTTTATGATTAAGTGGTTGTTTCACTGGCTCTGGAAGAGAAAAAAAAAAAAAAAAAAAAAAAAGGTCAGGCCAATCATATCAAAATATGATATTCAGTTTTATGAATGTAATGAAGTTGTGCACCATGAAGTACCGAAATTGTGCACATTTCTAAATTCTCAAACGTTATGTCAGTATTAATTGCCCAATAACAATGGTATGTAGCCAAGTCCACTCTTTCCAGGAAACTGGGAAGGCCACATTTCCCCTCCCAGCCCCCTGTGACCACGGGGCCCCACATTTCTGCCCACACCCATTCTATTTAAAACTCACTTGAACTGGACACGTGAAATTACAGAATGTTAAAAACTACGCTCTTGATAGAATCCCTATTGCATCCTGTCCCATTTTCAGATCAAACTAAATGAACCTCATACAGAACAACTTCTATAATAAATGTTATATATATTTTTAGAACCTGTTCTGCCAAACTATCTTAACCATTCAAGTTAAATGTACTTATCCTCTATTAAAAAAAATTTCCTTTTGGAATTACTGAGAATTCAAATAGATTTTTGGGTTTTGCTATTGTGCAATAATTCATTAAAATATAAAGCCATTTTCAATAGTCTTTTACATTCCCAGGATGAAATTTCAATTTATAGTCTTACATTGCTAAAATATCTTCCCGGTTAAAAAATTATATAAGTTTGGGGCGCCTGGGTGGCTCAGTCGGTTAAGCATCCGACTTCAGCTCAGGTCATGATCTCGCTGTTTGTGAGTTCGAGCCCCACGTGGAGCTCTGTGCTGACAGCTCAGAGTCTGGAGCCTGCTTCAGATTCTGTGTCTCCCTCTCTCTCCACCCTCCCCCACTCACGCTCTGTATGTCTCTCCTTCAAAAATAAATAAACGTTAAAAAAATTAATAAAATTATATAAGTTTAAGAAACAGTGTTATCAAAGTCCTCACCATTGAAAAACGTTCTTCTTATATTCATATTCTAATATTTTTTGACATAAAGTAAGGCTGCCCCCCCAGAAAACAAAATGAATTTGAATATCAAAAATAAAGACTGATCATTTTGGTGTTTAGAATCTTTATACTGCATGAGCAATTCTAGCACTTTAATTTTCTATGCAATCCAAATGTAAAAAAATAAATTCTATCTTTAGCATCTAATAATACAGTGGTAAACTGTTTACCTTGAAGTTGCTCCTTTAGTAATTTTAATTTCACTTTTCCAGCAGAAAGCTAAATTAATGAAATACATATTATTTGTCAGGGATACGATCTCTTATTCAAAGAAAGTTTAAGTTACTATTATTAGAAATATTAGAAAGCCATAACATTCTAGTGCATCTTGAGTGAAGCAAACATTTTGAAAGAATAATACAATCTTAATAGAATATCACTATTAAAGCATATATAGAACTTTTAATTAACAGAAAATTCAAGGGGTGCCTTGGTGGCTCAGTCGGTTGACTCTTGGTTTTGGCTCAGGTCATGATCTCACAGTTCATGGGATTAATGCCTGCATCAGGCTCTGTGCTGATAGCGTGGATCCTGCTCGGGATTCTCTTTTTCCCTCTCTCTCTGCCTCTCCCTCACATCTGTGTGCACATGCTCTCTCTCTCCCAATGTTGGAAATATATACACCATTTTTTAAAACATGCCATATTATGTTTTAAACAAAAATCCTTATATATCATCACGATATTATTTTAGAAAAGCACTAATATTCAAATATTGTAAAGGTTCAGTAAGCCTTTTCTATTTCGGTAACTTTCTGAAACATACACAGTCTAATATTTGTGTAGACCAAATCTAAACTGAATTTTCACTGAGCTGCTCTGCTTACATAACTGCAGAAGCCAATATTATCTTATTTGTCTAATTCAGAGAACCACATGTTTAAGCATCACAGATTTAACCTTCAACATATTCGCTGTGATCCCTGACTTTCCTAAGATGTAGCCAAAATATTGAGTAAATAAGGTTCGCTTTACGTGTTTCAAAGAGTCACTTAAAATCCTTGGATCTTAAGATTTTAAGACATAAAACAGACTCACCAAGTGTATGTACTTGCCTTGGTCTTATTGAAAACCAACATTCAAAGTACACAAACGAGCATGGAGGAATGCTGCACACTGATACAGACACTGGCAATTCATGCCTAGTTTTCAATTTGCAATTTGCATGCTCAATTGCCCACTTTGTCCATGAGAATATGAGAACAACGGCTGCCTCTATGTCGATGGCTGTACCAACTGCAGTCATCTTTGAAAATTCAGGCATAATTATTCTCAGTGAATCTAGTGGTTTTGCCTCGAAAGGGCATTTTTTTGTTCACATTCTTTAAGTGGCTGCTCAGATGCTATGTACCAAACATAGCAGAAAAGAAAACAGGATTGAAATAATCAATTTCTATGTGAATCACACTTTTACTTCTAAACTGGAAATGTTATACAAGTTACAGATAATTTAATCTCATTTTTCATAGCAAAATTGGCCAATATTATTACCTTAGTGGTACGTCTGAATTGCAACATGATCAATATGGTTATAGACTACCTGGGCAGAATGGAGATGCCAAAGCAAATTGAATCCATTATTAGGGAAATTTTATAATTTGTTTTTATTATTATGAATATTTTTCTGCTCTATAAACATGGCCATATTTACTCCAAATGATTCAAACTGCATAAAAATATTTCAGTGAACAAACTGCTAGCTGTTATTTTGAGGCAAATAGAATTTCCTCCTAAGTCTGATTTTTATCTGTTTGGGAAAGAGTTGAGGATAGAGTAGGGCTGGACCTGGGATACACACATAACGCACACACATCCATATATATATACACGTGCATACATACATGTATGTATGTATATATGTATATGCATATACGTGTATATTCAAAACATCAGGAATCCAATATACTGATGCGGTATTCACCACTTATGCCTCCACCAGTAGATGCTGAAGGGGTACCATTAGGGTACAGGGAAGCTTAGTGGCAGTACCACACAGACATATCACCTGGGCCATCAGACTCAGGCTATGCTGTCACCATCAGCCTCCTTGGCATTGACAAATGCCTCCAAACACCCACCAAGGTCCTAATCTGCCATGCTGGTCCCACACTCTTCCCATGAGCCACCTTATCAAATATTCTCATTTGTAATCTAATTAGCTACTTAAACATTGCCATTTTCTATTGCTTGTCCTTCCATCCTGCCATTGCATAGAGCCCTTATTAAATAGCCATTTGTCTTACGTTTTAAACCCTTCCTAAAAACATCTCTTGCAAAAGTTCACGTTAACCGGACCCATCTTTCCTCAGACACAACTTTTTTCCAGAGAACTCTCCAGAGGAACTTAATTCCATTTCTACTCCCTCTCACTCATCAGGAGAGAGGAAAATTTTTCTCCCTGTTTGCTCCTCAGTGCTGCTTCCAGAATATTGCTCTGATCTCACCATTCAGCAAAGTTGCCTCTACTGAAGCTCCTCGCCATTCGTTTATTGTCTTTATCAACATCCAGGATCCTCCTCCACCGTAACTTCAGCAATCTGCTCAGTATCTCTCTCCATCACAGTTCTGGGTGATGATCGTGAAGACTTCAATGTTCATGTTCACCTGACATCCTGATGTTCAAAACCCTCCAATATGCTGACTACTCCGACCATCTGAGTCCCTCTTCAGCCACCTGACCATTATGACCAAACCTTAAACCTAAGCAGCAATCTGAATGGTCACACCTTTAAAAGCCCAAAACTCAGAGTTTCTCAGCGCTAACCATGATCACCTTACCTTCTTCCTCTTAGACCTCCCATATCTACCAACCATTGTGATGAAATAATCCTGACTGGATCCCCCACAAATCCATGCTCTTATGGCTCTTCAGCAGTCTACTAACTCATTTCATGTTAAATCTCAATCATGATTCCCACAGTGCCTATGTCAAACTTTCTTCATTCCAAAAGACTCACATTTACCCCACTTCCCTTCCTTATTGTGAGCAGATGATCTTGCCTTCAAATTTACTAAGAATGTTGAGATCTCTTTCCATTGGTTAAGGTCTCCTTAATGAGCTGTCTCTTCAAAGACTAACCTCCAGCAATTGGCCCCTCTCTCTCTCGCATCTTCAATCTTTCCTCCACTAGTGAGTCCATCCCTCAACTACAAACTGGCTACATCTCTCTGATTCTGAAAAACAATACACAGTTGACTCTTGAACAATATGGGGGTTGGGGCACGATTTTTTGATTCCCCCCAAACTTAACTACTAATAGCCTACTGTTAACTGGAAGTTTGACAGATAACATAAACAGTCAATTAGCACCTATTTTGTATGCTATATGTATTATATACTGTGTTCTTACAATAAAGTAAGCTAGAGAAAAGAAAATGTTATTAAGAAAGTCATAACGTAGAAAAAATACATTTAAGTACTGTACCTACATTCATTGAAAAAATCTGCATACAAATGGACCTGCACTGTTCAAATCTGTGTTGTTCAAAGGTCATCTGTAATAAAGTCTTTCCTTGATCCTGTTAAATCCTTGAGAGGTCGCGCTCTGTTCTCATTCTCAGTGCAACATTTGTCTTTACTCATTATCACCCACCTTTCTTTTTTTAACTGCTTGAAATGTATTTTTCCATCTAATAACTCAAATATCAAATCAGTGGGGTTTTTTTTTAATTTTCATTCTCCATAAACATTTTTTAGTGTGATCTTCAGCCAATGTTACAATTGGTTTCAGACAGATAACTTCAACATTGCTTAAAACTCTATGAAGTAGCAAGTATTGTTATATATGTTTACAAATATGGTAACAGGAGCTCAGAAAAGTTCAGTGACTTGCCTAAAATCATAGAGCTAATGAAATGAGTCAGGATCTTAATCTATATAGACTAACACAGGATTTCTTGACCTTGATACCATTGACATTTTAGGACAAATAATTCTTTGTTAGGGGGCTGCCCAGTGTATTATAGGGTGAATAGCAGCACCCCTGGCTTGTAGCTACTACCTATCATTAACCAAAAACCACAAACCAAAAACTCTCTTGGTGGTGATAAAAAAAATGTCTCCAGACATTGCCAAACATCTCCTCGGGGGCAAAGCTGTCCCCTTTTGAGAAACACTGGTCTAAAATCACAGTCAAAACTTTTCTCACCACACAACGTATAGAACAATGTTGACATCTCCATACTTTCTAAAAGCACCCTCCTTTACCTTCGTTTTTTATGAAATCACATTACTTTGATTCTACTGCTACCATTCTTCCTCTTCTCAGGCTCCCTTTACTGGAGAGCTGGCAAATTAACTTAGAACCAGCAGGAAAGCCTGCATTCCAAATCTTGGCCCTGACACTTGACCTTGAGCAAGTTAACTTCTTTGATGTTAAATTACTTCATCTGTGGAATTGGAAAAATAACAACTGCCTCTTAAGAGTGATACAAGCACTTAATGAGATAAAACAGGAAAAGCAGCTAAACTATTGACTGGTATAAAATAGTGAATAAATATTAAAGTTCTCTTTTACTTCCATATTCCTTGAGCTTTATCCTTCCCACATGCCCTTTCTGAGCTTTATCCTTTATACCTTTCTTCTCCTTTTTATAAGTTCTTAAGAAGCACATTTACTCCCTTGGCTTCAACTAACACATGAGAATTCAAACAAAATCCTAAATCTTCAAAATTGCTAGGCAGAACTTAAATGTCCTCAACAACAACAACAAAAGAGATTTAAACAGGTGAGGTGATGGACGTGTTAATTAACCTTATGGGTGAAATCTTTCCACAATATATACATACATCAAATCATCATGTTGCACATTTTAAATTATCTTAATTATACCTCAATAAAGCTGGGAAAAGAAGGAGAAGAAGGAAGGAAAGAAAGAAAGAAAGAATGGACGAAGGAAAGAAAGGAGGGAAGAAAGAAGGAGGGAGAGAGGGAGGGATCTCTAAATCCCAAACTGTTTTCCAACCTCCTTCTTTACTCTACTTCCTAGTCAATCCAGCCTGGAATATCACTTATACATTTGAATTCCTCCTTTTCTTTCTCATTGCTTTTTTTGGTTCCATAGTTTTTTTCATTTTACTTTTGCTACATTCAAATACAGACTCTTCTCATTTGACCTTTAGATTCTTTTAATAGTCTTCTAAATAGTCCATTGGCCTCTATAGTAGTGGCCTCCAAAGTAGCATGTATGCATGCTTGAGGGAGCTCAAGAAAAATCCAGAAAGTAGAAGAGAATTTCTATTTATGTTTATGTCATCCTTAACTAATGTCTATATTTTGTCTCACAATGCACATGATATATTAGTAAACTATTATGTATATAAATAAATTCTATTCATAAACAAATAAAAAGTTCATGTATAGAAAAGTCCATGCTCAAAATACATTCTTGATTTATGTGGACATGATCAAAACAGTTTTGATATCATTTGTTCTATACTCTGTATTTATAAACTCCAAATGCACTCCATATTTAAACAAGATCAGGCACCTTAAGTCATTACCTTAATCTTAACTATCCTCCTGCTCAAAAACTGTCCAGGAATTCCATTCCCACAGTGAAAATGTCAAGACTCCTAACTCTGGTATTCAAGACCTTCCCTCCTGCCCAGTCTCACTTTCTACACCCACCTTCTACAGCTCTCCAAACCCCATGTTTCCACATCTTTCGACTCAATTATGAGGTTTGTGGGGACTGGCATTATGATTTATTCATCATTTTTTCCTTACAAAGACATCTAGGAGACTCTCAAATATTTGTAGAACTAAAGTATTTTTTCCCAAGCACAGATGGTTCATATACTATTGATATATTTAATCAAAATTATATACAAAAATTACATACTGACTTAATCTATAAATATTTTCATATGCACATTATCTTTCACATTGGATGAGGATCTCCTTGTGAACAAGGATAATGCACTATATGACAAAGGAGGCACTTAACAAATGTTATTGAATAAATAAGTCAATAATCACAAAGTCAGCATTTTTAATAGTTCAATAATATCTGAAACATGGAATGCTATCTCAGAAAGATAATGAAAAATGGGAAGTGGACTATAAAACTTTTAATCCAAAAATTAAAGAAACATATCTCAGTAAGAGAATGACAGTAAAGAACAAAATGCTTTTTTGAAGCCAAAAACGTTAGAAGCACCAAGTAAGATGTTTGTAGATGCCAACTGGCCCAAAGAAAGTTGGATATCAGGTATATAAAAAATAAAGAGGAGTATATAAGCTAAAACTTACAAAGTCACGGATCTTGTGCTAAACAATCCAGAAACAAAACAGCTTTCCCTACATAAAGTCACTCATCTGATTTTAACCTTACATATAATCTAATGTTATATTTTACGACACACAGTTAAGAAAAAGGAATTCTACAGCTGGGAAACCTGAAGGCAGCCTTTCCTCAGGTATCTCCACACATGGAATCAACAGTATATGAATAATAATTATTATTCAAGTAGAACATAAACACATGAAACAAATGTGATCTAATAAAAAGGCAGGAAAAAAGTCTGTCCTTCGTTACATCAAATAACCTAGCTTTCACTTTAATATAAAACCACATAGTTGTATTTCACATACTTGAAACCAAAACTGAACTGCATGAAAAAAATTCAGTTTAGAAAAATGCTACTCAATATGAATTTTTTAAAATCAACTTGTAGATGAGAAACAAATATATCTGAATAATGAAAGCTACATATTAACCCATAAAAATTAATCACAATCCAATAATATGTGAAGTTGTTAAAATAAGATTAGTGGGTTCTTAAGTATGGAAGGGAATACAAGATCTAAAAATTAATTTATATCTCTTTACTTGGTAAATTCCCTGAGAATCAAATGGTATTTTCTTACCTTAATAATATTTCCTTTACTTTGTGACATTATGTGTGATTGATTACTCAATTTTCCCACTTGCCCAGATTTCCAGTGATATCCACTTGACCTTCAGTATATATAAATAGAGGACAAAATGTAATTACTAAATACATTTCTCCTTTTAATGAAAACAAATATATTTTCCCTGTTTGAAGAAATGAAATTCAGTCATTAACATGTAACAGATCACCACAAAAGGAAAATGAAATATCAATAATGCCACGATAGCCTTGGTAATTCTAAAATATAGCTCTACCATATTTGGAACTTTTGAGAAGAAATGAATAAAAGTAAAATGTCCAAACACCGATGAAGAATTTCATTTTTTAGACATTTACAATGACTAACGATACCTTTACTGATTTATAGGAAATTTTGCAGATTGCCATGCAGTTTTAAAAGCTAAGGGTCCACAGGTATAAAGAGGAAAAGGAAGCAAAACAATACCGAAAACAGCAGATGTACTAAGTGATGAATCCCGTATTTAAGACTACAGATCAGCTCCCACACTGAAAGGTAAAGAGAAGGCAAAGAAGGCGAACTGTTTAGCTGATGGCTTTCAAAGCACTTTTGAGTCTCACAGAATTTTTTGAAGTCAACAGGGCAGAAATCCAATTCTCACTTAAAAAATAATGAGACAAAACTTGGCCAAGGTCACAGAGACAATAAATAATAAAGTCAAGGTCAGAACACTGAACTTCTATCTTCCTGACCAATGAGTGGCAGGTTCTCATTCTGGCTATAACATTTATTATCTTTGTGGCCTTAGAAAAACACGTAACTCTTATGAAAACTCCATCAAGCTTTAGAACATTTTTAAAAACATCCCCAGCTAATGAAAACACACTCTTGAGTCTGATTTCAGGAACTCTGATTCACAGATATTTCATTATCCATTGAGAAGTGCAAACTAAGCTCATCGGATCATTATAATAACAGCAACAAAATATACAATATACTTTGTCACCTGGGATGACATATGACATTGAGATGCTTGATTAAATCAATGTTCTGGTTATTAGAGGGAGTGTACGTATGTGTCATGAGTATTTTCCAAAGAGTCATACTTTAAAGATAAATACTGCTGGAGATATAGTAAATTCTGAATTTTCTTTAATGGTTCAGAAGATATTTCATAGATATTTGATGATCATCCCTTGGAGCACCAAACAAAGCAAATTTAATATACAAAAAGCCTGGCAATATTTAGTACCAGCCAAAGCACATGAGACATGAACTGTCATTCTCTGTAGGAAAAAGTTATACATTTTTGAAGCCTATTTGAAAGACAATTTCTCCAATATCTACCAAGATCTAAACTGCATATATACTTTGACCTAAAATTACACAGGTAAGAATTTAACCCTTTGATACTCTTGCATATGTAAGCAAAATATATATATAGAAGCATATTCATGGCAGCATTTATAATTATAAAATAGGGAATATTTAAATAAAGATGTCAAAAATATGCAGAGAAATATTACATAGCCATTAAAAGAATGAGATCACTTGTGTTCTGATGTGGCAACAGCACTAAGATATATTAAGTAAAAAAAAATAGAGTATGAGTCATTTTATAGATAACCTCACTTGTACAAACATAAATGACAAGTCAGATATACACACACACATTCATACACACACGCACATATATATACATATATGCTTATACAAAGATAAGATATTTGTGGTGGGGAAAAAAAAACCTTAATTATTAAAAGCAGTGCTACAAATGGGCTGGGAGTAGCCCAGAGCAAAGAAGATATCATTTCCATTACAAAACTATCAATTCTGTTTGATTTGTGTCATATAGATTTATTATTTGTGTAATAAAGGACAATTCTCAGTAAGATGAGCACACATATAAAGCACAATATTGGAGAGTGCTCATTAATAAAATTTCAGCTAAAGCACATTCATCTAAAAATATTTTAAACATACTTGAGGGTTTGAATGATTCTTGTATACGAACATGTAAACTCCTGCCTCCCAAAAGTTTTTCATAAATAAAAATGACCTTAAACATAAACTGGTGATCTCCTACGGATGGCACTTTTATGACAGTAAAGGCTGTGTTGCTGTGCTAAACATCTCAGGCTACGAATGGTTCAGAAGAGTCATGTAAGAAGAGAAATAAGAAAGTGTAAGACCAAAGAACATTCAAACAACAAAACAAAAACAAAAACAAAAAAACAAACACAAGTAATGGTAATTTTAAAAAGCAGCATGCCTTCTATAAAGGACACAAATAGAAAAAGTAGGAGAAATTTAATACTATTTGTTCAACAGGAAAAGCCAGAAATCATTCATTCAAGGCAGACCTTTGTTGAAATGACAAGGATATATGAAATATTTCCTTACACAACTCAGTTTATTCCTCTCAAATCCCCTAAAAGTGTCACTTACCCTCTTTCTTCCTTTTCTCTGCTCCAAATTGATTGGAATTCCTGTAGTTTCTTTTCCATTTGTTGGTTCTCCAACTCTAACTGTATCTTCTCCATCCTCAGTTCCTGAGCATTTCTGAGTATTAGTTAAACACAGAATGTTCATTTGTGGGAAACAAACAAAAACAAGGCAAAATAATTTTATATAATCTTTTGCCCTTAATTAAAATTATGAATAGTAAATAAGTGATGGAGTATCCTAATTACTTCCTTTGCATTCTGTGAAATACAGTTTCTAAAGTTAGCATTTGCCTCCCATTAACATTCTCCTTAAGGTATGTAACTCTTCAAATGTCAGATTTTTGTTTTTCCTATTACACTGCGAGAGATTTCAAATCATAATTCACTTTCCATATGAACTCTGTCTTCGTATATGCACAAATATCTATACTATATAAATAGAAAGCAAAAGACAAAACATTTTCTAATTTTCATACTGTCTTTCCTCTAAAGAATTCAAGTAGTTGGAAGAATACTGTTTAAAGTATCTAATCTTTTCTCTGCAGAATACACATTTTTGCTGACCTGATCATCTTAGAAACCTTCAATAAATTTCTACCTCTATGTTGTATAATACAAAGAAAGCAAGAAAGAGAATGAGAGAGAGAGAGAGAGAGAGAGAGAGAGAGAGAAAGAAAGAAAGAAAGAAAGAAAGAAAGAAAGAAAGAAAGAAAGAAAAAGAAAGAAAGAAAGAAAAAGAAAGGGAGAAAGCAGAGCCTGTTTAGGGCCTATTAGGGAGAAAGCACCCATTGAGGGCCTCTGTACAGGAGCTATTACATTAAAGGGATTGAATGTGAACTGGGCCAAGTCTCACCTATTGTTTCCTCTGAAAGAAAGCAGTAAAAAAAAGAACTTTTTGAGGACAGACCAGAGCCCCCTTACAGATTCTTGTGCAAGAGATTTTGATAATAATACCTGAAGCTCATCGAACATTTGACACAAGCCATTTTCTTCATTTTACAGTTCTGGTCTCTTGTCAGTATTAGTCACTGTGTTCAATAGGTCTATGCCAACCTAGTTCTCTAGCTTTTATTATCTATCATGAGTTTAAATCTCTTTCATTGTTATTACATCAGTGTTTGACTATAATCAAGTATAGTGCGTCCCCAAGGATTCAATGACAAGCAATCAAAATAAGAATAATGGAAATGAGAAAAGGCCACTAACTTATATAAACAGTCACCAAAAAGCAAGCGCCAAAGCGGACACAATCCAGAGAGGTACATGGAAAGTTAAAGGAGGCAAACCACTCTGCCAGTGGGTTCAGAGAAGCTGGTAAAGATACTGATGGAGAGGCACTATTTTCACTTTATCCATTCCACAAGGAGTACTTCAGCCCTTAGTACAAACAAGGACTGTGGTGACAGGACATGTAATAGAAGGTGAGAGGATATGAGACCCAGTGGAGATTCCAGTACAGAGAGGAACACAGACACACATGAAGGTAAATGAAATATGGTTATAATGGTGCTGTCACTGGAGAAGTACCTGGAGGTACCCGAACACACAGGGCACATGCCCAGCTGAAGGGATGGCAAGAGCAGTTCCTGGAGAAAGTGAGGTCTGAGCTGAGCCTCAGGGATGAAAGGACCTTGGGGAAGTCAAAGGGAAGTGGGGAGAGCAATGTTCTAAGAAGAGAGAAAAGTGTGGGCACAGGGAGAGACAGGTGATATGTGGGTCAAGGCACCAGAGGCTCCACGTGACCAGGCATTCTGTGAAGGAGGGGGAAGTGGTAAGAAATGGAATTGCTGATGTGGAGGGTGACCAGATCATGAAGGGCCATGTAGGCCATGATGAGGATTTGTATTCTGTAAGTGATGAGAACCATCAAAGGTTTTTAACAGAATTGATTTTAGAAAGATCACTCTGACTACAGAATGGAAAATTAGAGGGTGTAAGGCTGAAAGGCAAGTCAAGGCCGCCAGTTGGGATACTATTTCAAGAAGCCTAATAATAGAGAGATGATGCTGGTCTGACTGGATAGAGACAATGGAGAGAAAAATGGGAGCATTTGACAACTCTAAGGAAATAGAATTAACTGGACTTGGAGACTGACCAGAAGCAGGGGACTCACCAGGAAAGAGAAAGGAAAGAATCTAAGACAATCATAGGGTTCTTACTCGGGCAACCAGGAGGATAATGATGCCTAGATCACTTTGCAATGGAATGGGGACATAGTTTAGGATTGATACCTGAGCTGGTCTCCCCGCCCAAAGTCTCAATGGCCCACAACACTTTTCACATGGCTTCCAGAGGAAGAGTTTGAAGAGTACAAATGTGATTGTGTTACTCACTTGCTTAGAAAACTTTTAATGTTTTTCAAGTCCCCACTGTGGTAGAGGAAAGGAATGAGACTGGAAAAAAAAAA